TAGGATAAAGTGCCATGAAATGAGCCTTTTGTGGAAAAAAGGCAGCAATCGGAAAACGACTTCAGTGAGTGGTGCTTTCGTCATACCTAATGAGATCAGCAGCAGCACTTGTCGGGGATCTGTTTTTGACACCTCATTCAGTTGTCATCAATTGCAGACAGTCCTCAATCGCTCAACTTCGTCCCAACACTTCACACCGCCATTTGGAACTTTACAGGGAGTTGCAAAGGAAAAAGAAAACAGCGAATAAATATGTTTAGTTTTTAAGCAATTGCACAGTCAGATTTTTGTCGTTAAAACAATTTTCGTTCATTATAGAGATTACCAAGTTCGAAACTGGGACGCTTTCAAGCACTACTGGCAGCTATTCCAGGCCTTTCGATTCTAAGCTGCATGCCTTGCTTGATATTAAAAGGCCAAAGCCTTCAGCGTTTTCGCTTTCTATGTCGCATTCGGGAAGTAATTTGAGCAGTATACGAGTATGTGGGCGATATATGTGATGATTTTTTCAAAGCTCATTCAACTGGCCGCCCAGTTTTTTACTGATTTTCAACGTCTGCTGGTTATCAGCAAAAGAAGCAACACGCCATGTTTAACTGATTTCATTTTCTCGCATAGTCGCAATGGCCGTCTAGAAGTCGTTGATCTGGACAAAGTGTCTGGTTGCTTATGTGATTACAGAGACATTTGAAACATCCTTCGCTCCGCTGCCCCCTTTCCGCAATATTCAGTGCTTGCTCTTTTACGTTTATCAGTGTCCAATTAGACCCTATGCGCCAGTGGTCCGGATATAGCTGCACGGAAGAACTGAGAATATTCCTTCGGATCTGACATTCTGAGGAAACAAATGACGCCACAAAATTTTCGCTATTCGAAAGGCCTTCTACATGCAGTCTTGGCTAAAAATTATGAAAAATGTTTATTCGTGATCGCCATGTTGGCACTACAAAACAACCATAAAGCAAGAAGAAAGTTTAAACAAAGTTTAGCTACTACGCACAGCAAATAGAGCTTAATAAGCCCAATTGTTTTCGTTTGATTAATTTTAATTAATTTTCAGACTAGTCACATTATCATTTAATGTCTCCGCTCATATAATTTCCGTTTCATTATTTAAAGGAAAAAAACACAAAAGCGTAAGACGAGCTTTGTACTTCTTCAGCAGACCGACTGGCAACTCGCACTAGAAAGTCATGCGTGTGTTTGTACCAGATATCATTTAGACCGCAAAGTTCTAGAATACAAGAGCCGCTTTATTTTGCTTCTGCAGCTGCGCATTTTTGACTTGTTTCACTCGACCTCAGATAACTTTGTGAGATGAAAAATGCATTGCTTCCTTAAACATTTATCCAAAATATATTAATTAGAAAACACAAAGCTCAAAAGAGAGTAGTCAGTGAAAGTGGGAAATGAAACCAAATTCCTAGTACAGAAACGTTTCAGCCCGTCAAGCAGTAAACTATTTTGTTCAGTATTGCAGCTAGACTTTTTCATTACAGCTGTTAGATGTTATGTTATTTTACAAGTTAATAAAGTGGATTAAAAACTGTAAAAAAGATGACGTTAACAAAAAATGTAAGAGTATCAAAACTATAATAAATCATTGGCGACGCGCACTAGGCGACCTGTGCCATCATGCATTTTTGCAGTATTTAGTACTGTAGTAAGATGGCTTGGAATATTAGTAGCTAGAATTTGTAACACACTGGCCCTCGACGTTTAAGAATTTAATTATGCAACTGCACGGTACTCAGACAAGGAACATTCCGTTAAAATTTCATTATGCAACTGCGCGGTACTCAGACAAGGAACATTCCGTTAAAATTTCATCTTTCCAACTTTCCTAGTTCCCGAGTTAGCAATTTTCCTGCTAGAAAATTTCATAGGTCCATACTTGAGAACCATGCATACCTGGGGGATATTTTTGACTTTTACTGTGATTGGGAACATCCTCTCGAAAAAATTACGGGAACTGGGAACATCCTCTTAAAGGTTCAGCCTACTAGCATTTCTGGCTTCCAAATTAGCGATTCTTCCCACCAAAAATTTTCACGAGGTTGAACGTGAAAACCATGCAATCCCGGTGATCTGTGCGGGCCGTGTGAAAATTTCAGCTTCCCAGCTTTTCTGGTCTCGAGTTAGCTGTTTTCCCGACAAAACTTTCATGTGGCCGTACGCGGGGCCAAACGTACGTGAAGGCTGGTACAGTGGTCCTGGAATGGCACTTGGCCGGGGAGACCGCTGGCAAGATTTTGACTCCGAATTTTTCGAGGTTGCCAAGTTGAAATATCCGAACATGCAGACACACACACACACACACACACCATGGGTTGTCGCAATATGCGTTTTTGCATTTGCATATATGCAAAAACGCATAAAAACGAACTAATTAGCTACATAAAACGTTAACATGCATATGAAGGCGAACATTACTATTTAGAGAGGGATGTCTGCCAATGTGGAGTACTGTGGATGAGGGGAGACGCTCCATGTATGTATCTGTC